GTGGCAGCGGCAGCAGCAGCGGCAGCAGCAGCAGTAATACTCGTTGTCGTGGTGGTGGTGGTTGTGGTGATGGTGGTGGTAGTGGTGAGGGATGCCGTGGCTGGTGTGTGGACGCAGCTGCGGCTACTGGCAACCTACTCTCGCCGCCGCTCTGCTTGCCGGCATTGCTTTCGCTAGATTGTTTTTGGTGTTTCGTGTCCCCGATGCTTTGAAGCTAGTTGTCATATGGCAGCCCAGCTGCCGGCAATGCCACGGTGGAGTAACATCGTGTCTATGTTAACATCACCGATCACCACCATTGACATCACCACTAGCAGCATCAACGGCACCACCACCGTCATCATTACCATCCTCATCGTCGTCATCGTCGTCGTCATCACCATCATCAGCATCATTCTTCATCCTCATCGCCAGTGAAGAAAATCCCGCAGCAAAGCTCCTTGGAGGAGGAGTCGGTGGAGCAGGCCATACGTATGGTGTCAGCAGAGGAGGTCCGACAGCCCAGGGCGGGACCATCAAGAGCAGCCGGTCACTGTGCTAAGGTTGAGCAGCTCTTGCCATCGTTTCGAGGCAGTTATGATTGCGAGGATCTCAGTGTGAAGCACCAATAAGATCGCACTGCTACTACTACTTGGGGAGACTGGCAGCAAACATTGAAGCTCAGGTGCTTTGTCAAAGCCGAAAAGTGTTGGGCAACCTCTTCGATTTCGCGCACGCCGGGATACTCGAGGGCCTGTTGCAGCGATAGCCGCAACAGCGTGCAGGAAGGATCTACTAAGCAATCTTTCAGCACGTGATGGGACTGGACACCGGAAAATCAAAGTCGTTTAGCTATGCACTTGCCTCGAACCTGAGAACAGAAACTGCCTTTAAGGGCAAATTCTACAATCCTACAATCTTTCAAGCGAAGTTGGTCTTAAACCCGCCAGCGGAAGTCCTCCTCTTCTTCACTCTCAGGCATCTATGGGCCGCTTGACGAGCAGCTGGCGCTTGCAGCGCCCATGTGCGAAGAGGCCGCTCCGAAGTGGTTGCCGGCATGTTACCGCCAGCCCGAAGACAGGAAGAAGGCAGCAATTGCTCGAAGCAATTCGAAGGTTTGCGTGGTCCACAAGACAAAGGTGGAGCAGAACGCACCGGGACAAGAGGCGAGCGACATGGATACTTGTTCTCTTCGTATCGAATTGACTGGAAAGGCAAGCAGTAGATGTCTGCAGTCCCCTCCTAAGGCGAAAGTCATCACAGAACGCTCTGGTTGCGCGCTGCCGGCTGCACTTTCTCCAGTCTTGGGAGTCTACATGGAACACGCTCGCGTGGCCGCCGCAGAGCACGCAAGCAGCATCTACGGGTCTGCGAGATGCCAGGTGGACTTTGTAGCCACGTTGGAGGGGGCTCCGGATCTTCAGCTCACGGTCCACGGGAAGGAAGTGCGCATGTGCTGGGCTCGGACGCGGGTTGGACAAGGCAGAAGTCTAGAGTCTAGAGCCTTTCGCACCTGAGTCGAGGTGCTTCTCTTCCTGCACGAAGGAGATGCGATCGCTGAGGGATGTCAGGGCCTCGGTGCCCTGCATCTCCCGCCAGACCCAGATTGTTTTCTCGGCCCTCGGATGTCTAACCTGCTGGTGAAGCGGCACGCTGGGTCGTCTCAAGCCAGTGAACGAGAAACTGAGCGCGCGAAGACGAGCTTTGCAAATGACATCCTTGCAAGTCATCAGCAGAGACATCAACAGATGTTTTGCGGCGGCTGTTTCGACATCTTGCTATCTTTCAGCGCTAGCGTTCGAGGTTCCTGCCAAGTGGCGAGAACTTGTTCAAGCAGAAGGGGCAGGCCTGATCTATGAGACAGGCTGCATGCGCTGCATGTCATCAAGAAAGTACTATTGTGTCTTTCGTGTGATGCGACTAGGCTACAGGCAGAGCTTCTGCACATACGCGAAGTGTCTTTGAATTTGTCATTCGGAACATGGCGAGGGAAACCAGCACACGTGACAAGAAAGTTGCGATCCCATGAGCCGGACTTTTACGGACTGTCTACGGATTTCCTGCATGAAGACTGGCTGCAGGCACTGACAATGAGGACGATCATCTGGTTTTCCAGGCAGGACGAGCGCAGTTTCTTGGCCATCGTCCCGCAGTTGCGACTCCAGGAAGAGGCTCTGCGAGTCGGACAGCTGGTGACCCTGGCCACAAGCCCAGGAACCTTCAAGCGAGTTCCAGGTGTCCGGGAAGACGGCATGCTGTGGAGACTATTCGGGCCACTTGAGGTCGGAGACTTGCACCGTGATGCTTCTGGGCAACTTCTGCCGTGTGCTCGGTGGTTTCTTGCTCGCTTTTGCATGTGATCCGCTTCGATTTCAGGTCCACAGCCACTAACTTGGTTTCCTTAAGCCTTACACCTAAAGCGAAGTGCTGCCGCGGTGCGCTGCGCAGCCGGGCCGTCAGGCTTGTGGCGTTGTTTTGAGGGAACAACCAAATGCTTAGGAAGCCAATCCTGTACACAAAGAGTACGTCACATAAAGTAGGGTCGGATCAACAGGCATGGTCGCGCCACAGAATACTATGATATACTATGATCAATCAGCAGCCTATTCGCCTCAGTAGCACGAACGTGCATCAACATAAGGTCTTCGGCAACGGTCTAAATCGACAGCGCAGAGAATCTGACAACGCATCATCGGTATCGGTGGGAGCATACTGGGATTTTTGTCAGCAGTGTAGCGCTGCTCCTGTGACAACAAGCACTGCAGAGCGCCACAACAACAACAGTTTCAGCAGGAGGAACGGCAGCAGCAGCAGCACCAGCACCAGCAACAGCAGCAACATCAACGCCACAGCATCGACGGCAACCACAGCAGCAACAAGAATAAGTGGACAAGAGGGGGTAACATCCCGGGTTCTAACGGTAAGCCAGCAAGGCTTTGGCCTGCCCCTGCGTCGCAGCCTCAGCGATACCTTTTGCCTTCGCCACAGCGGCTGGACTTCAGATTCGATGCATTCCGTTCTGCGAGTGCGGGTCAGGGCAGTCAATCTTGCTGTCAGCACTAAAACGTTAGTTGGTTCTTAAGAGTCTTGCCAAGACGTAAGAAGCACGAAATCCCGACAAGGTCTTGTCGGGACAGGCTCCGAGAGCCTAGCAAAATGCTCCTAAGGAGTACATGGGCTGAACTCGGGCTAGGACACGACTCCAAGCTGCAAGCCCTCCTTCCGAGTACATTCAGCAGTTCAGGGTTGTTCAGATCGACTTAGCTTAATTGCTGCTGGAATATGATTCCATGCAGACGCCTAATTTGAAGCCCCTCCCCCCTACAGCTTCAGGCAATTGCTTGGACACAAGCGGGCCCCAGACCACGGGGATAAAGCCTTCATGCACACCCACGGAGAGAGATCAAGAAAGATGGAGGGGGGCACACATATTTGTCTATCTGTCTGGCTACCTCTCTGTCTATCTCTCTATCTGTCTGTGTGCCCATCAGTGTATTTGTCACTAGAGTATCTATCTAGCTAGCTGGCTATCCATCTGTCGATGCTAGACAGGATCCGGAAGCGGACATTTGAGCAATGGCAGGTTTGTATGCATGCATGCATGTACGTATGTAAGTTTTTATGCGTGTATGTATTTATGCAGGCAGGCAGGCAGGTAGGTATGGTGAGCACTAGGCACGCAGTGCCGAATGTTGAGGTCACGGTTGGATGGAGCCGTCCCCGCCTCGTGATCCGTCTTGTTGCCGACCGGAGATCCCCCCAAGAGCAAAATTACACCGGAGTTTATGCGTTGTTTGGAGCTTTTACGTCTGCTGGCAAGGACATCTTAGTTCTTTACTAACTGTTCTTGCTCTTGGTTGTGAGGTCGTGTCGCCTCTGCTTGATGGCGTGCACGTGTTGGTGAGACAGGATCTCAGATCAAGAGGGTCTTGCAGGTGACGGTCTCTTGAGAGATCTAAAACCACTTGATGGCAAGCTGTACAGCCGAGGCGATGATCCCGATTTTGGCGCAAAAACTGACGACCTTGCAGCTCGCTTGGATGTGGTGAACGACATTCGCAGACCGCCGTAGCTTCGCAGCTTGAGGCAAACGTAGCAACGGCATAAGTCTTCTGTCAAGGTCGAGGCTGATCGATATCAAGGAGTTTGACAGGCGTGTTGGCACGTCCGTCCAGGCACAGTGTGGCCATGGAGCGCAGCAGTGCTTAATTTGGTGAATGTGCTGTGGCGCTGAGGGTTTTCTTCTCTACTCTCCTACCAGATGAGTGATGTCCGGGTAGCGATGGAGCAGTTGGCCTGTCAAGCGGCTCACTGCTAACCCATCCGGTTCCAGTTTCCGAAAATCCTTGTCTCGATGATTTCCCTTTTCTCAGGCCGTGGTTTCTTGATGTGCACTGCTGTACCAGGCGTGCACTACGAAGATACCTTGGCGTACTTATACTATATGCGTGTCTGCAAAATGTGGGATGCCGGTTCCAGCTGGCAGTTAGTACGTCCTTGTACTCGTATCGTTTCCAGCTTCTCTGACCGAGGGCGGTATGTGCCTATGTCGTCGGGCTGGAGTTCTTAGTGCAACTGACCGGCCGTTTGCCTATGCAAAAAGTGGTGTCGTGGTGCCGCGAAGCAGTAGGACGCTGCATGGCACTCTCGGAGTATTTCGGATGATTGCCGTGCTGCAGCCGTTGATGTAGCACAGGCTGGCGACCCGCGGATCTGTTCTAATTTAGGGATCCAGCATGACGGACGTGCAGTCCAACCGCCGTGCTCGACGCGCTCAGCGTGCACTTGAGAGCCACGAGGGTGGCTGCTCGACTTGGTTTGCTTTCCATTTCTGCTGGTTCGGGAGTCGGAGGCTGCTTCTTTTCTGGTAGCATCTTCTCAGGTCTGCCATCACTCAAGTTCACCACCATGTGCAAGTTCCACCTCATGAACAAATGTGTCCGTGGGAGCAGTTGCACCTTCGCTCACGACGAGTCACAGCTACGTGGCAAGCCCGACCTGACGGGCACCAAGATTTGTAGGTTCTTTGCCACTGGACGCTCGTGCAGATACGGATCCCGTTGCACGCACGCACATGCTTTGGCGGAGTCAAGCGCTGCTCGTCTGCACATGGGCCAGTGCATAAGGGGATTGGCACCCGGAAACACCGGACAGTGTGGGAGCATGTCCTGCAAAAGGAATCTACAACTTCCACTTCAGCGGGAGAAGAGGAGGAAGAAGACAGCCCTCGATACGTTCATGTTCCTGGACTTACCTCAATGAGCAGCATGCCGCTGTCGAAGGAGATCTTATCGTATGCGTAGTGCCAAGAGATGCCGAGATCACGTGCGGAGCTTTAGTGAGATCTGTGCACGAATCTTCTCAGGACATCCCGCAGATGAACATTCAGGGAATCCCTGCAGAGCGTGTTCAACTTCTGGCAGCCCTCCGGGTTCTTGACACATGGGTGAACCAGTGCGCAGTACTCATTGCGAAGGAAACGCCGCAATTATGAGTCTGCATCTCGGGAATGATTAGCCGGGCTGCAGTTGTCTACAGTTGTCAGTGTGGCCCAGAGAGACTTTTCCCAAAGCTTGAAGCGTGGAGGAGCAGCTTATGCTCGGAGTGTTGCGTTCCCATGTGTTTTTTGGGCGGTTTCAGACTTTGCCTTGCATCGGAGTGCTTGGAAACCCGGATGCTCCACGCTTCAGGCATGCTTCTGTGTCAGGAGGCTTTTAAACTGCCAACCTGCATCGCACTCCAGGGTGAGCCTGAAGTGTGATGTTGAACATCGTGGCTTGTGCAGGCCTTTGAAAGACCTCCTGTGCTTGCACCTGCTGCATCCCACGGAAGTACTGAAGCAGTGTACATCCGTAACTGATGTCGGCCGTAACGTAAGTCTAAGAACCGAGTAAGAATGCAATGGCGGTTTGAGAGAAACATGGGAGCGCGGGTAGCCAGGAGGGGACCTGAGCTCGCTACATCGCTGCTTTCTCCAGGCAGATGCCCAACAATTTTGCAACGCTAAGACCACGCACAGTTGAGGAGCACACCTGCTCTTCTTGCCTCTTTCCGTTCGAGCTTCTAGCCGGTTGCAAGTCTTGGAGTGTCACATCACCGCTTGCAACCACGAGCAAAGATCTATCAGGCACTCCTTCTGTCCAGTGCTCTTCTGATGAGTTGGTTTGTCATAATAGCATACAATAGCCCGGTCTTCTAAATGCTTCTTTGTGCTATGTGCTCTTCCCTTTGGAACAGTATTCTGCTCTCCGGCCTGACCTGGCCGATCTTTTGGGGGACACTGCTTCGCAGAAGGTGGTGTTCGACGCTTCCTTGCGCTTCCAGGCTGTGGAGTCTTGCCTGGCCTTTTAAGGCCTTACATCTCCGAGAGGCTGAACACGTTGGGATTTAGGGATTTAGGTTTGAGGATTTAAGGGGTTAGAGCTTAGGAGTTTAGGACCCAGGATTCCAGGATCTATCGGGTGCACCCTACCGGCCCAGACTCCATCGTCGGACCGCTAGACTCGCAGCCTCGTTTTCTTGGGGGAACGTTTTCCCCCATCTGGGAGTGTCAGAAACTCAGGGATGCACTATCACTAATGAATCACTATTTAATGGCTGCCGCCAATGCC